TGTGTGTGTGTGTGTCTGAATGTGTGTGTGTGTGTGTCTGAATGTGTGTGTGTGTGTGTGAACGAGGCACAGATTGCTGTAAAGAGCTTGGAGTACCTTGAGAAGACAGAAACATGATGTATAAGTTCAGTCCATTTAACGGTGACATAAAAGTTTTAAAATGTGATTTTTGAAGATCGGAGCCGTTTAAGAAGACGAGGATCTTCTTGAACCATCGCTGCACTCAGGATGAGGGGCGGTACCCTCAAAACTAAAGCCCCGCCTACTGGCCCTCCCAATGACCCGACAGGGTGTCAGCCCCAGAATCGAGTTCTCTGCAGACTGAAAGTGGGTGTTTCTGAAGGACAGACTCTGACTGGCAGCGTATCTGCTGCTCTTTAGAAAAGATACATGAGGTCTTTATTAAACTGAAGGTTTGTAAGAAGCAGCGTTATATCTGCTTTCAGACACAAGAAGATCCTCTTCAGTCCTTGTAGCTGCACCTGACACAGGTGAGTCTGCTCTGGGTACAATGAAACATGAAGCATCTGAAGAGAAACTGCTCCATTTGTCACAAAGTCTGGTCTCAATTAAAGATCAGGAGTCCTGTAACGAGATAATGGACCAAAGCCAAATGTTCTCTAGAAGTTCCTCCATGAGATGTGATCCATGAGAGGAGCTGGAACACGGAGAAGGACCGAGCCTTAAAATGTGAGACAGCTGAGGAGGTGAAGCAGTAAGCAGAATACCTGCTCCAGAACCTGACATCACTCATCTGCAGCGACTGATTTAAGAGCTGAACAAGAAACTGTGAAAAGGAAACATCCTTTGTCCCAGAGACGGTCCAAGTTTCATTATTATTTTGGTTACTTTATTTTTCTGTCTTCATGAATTGATTGTAACGATTGTCACATTATTGAACAACCAAAACAGATTTAGTTTTTAATGTAAAGGTTAGGTATTAAACACAAACATTTAGCCCTCCCCACTACATTTATGTTGCTCTTATTCTGAAATGTAACAGGAAGTTCTGTTAAGAGAGACAGAAAGACGTTATGGAGACGAGCAACGTTGAGCTGGTTCACACGACCTGCCTGCTGCTATACTCAGATTAATAAATCTGTTAGTCACCCCCTGCCCGCGCCTGGTACATCACTCGATGCTGTACGGCATTTTGTTGTACCGCTCCGTACTCTTTCAATAAAGAAAAAACAAACGTTCTGATACCTTCGTCCAGTCAGGTATAAGATCGTCCTTGAGTAACGCCTTGTTTTTTAATGTCCAATCAGGTGTGGCCCTTGAGATACACCTTCCTCTGGGAACGCCTGCTCGTCTGCAGACAGACCTACCTGAAGAAGTCCTTCAAACTAAACGTGTGGAAAAGATGCAGTTTGGAAAAGTAGGAGCTGAAATATTCGACAAATCAAAGAAAATTATCTAAAGCTTAATAAAAAGTGGGTGGGGCTTAAAACTATCTGGCGTCAGTTTCCTGTTTCTAGTTATATTAGTGTGGACAGGAGAAAATACAGGACTCCGCCCCCACAGGTTGGTACCTGGCCAGGTTTTAAGCCCCGCCCCCATATGTAAAACACACTGCCCTGGTTCAAATTTAAAGTCTTGATTTCTTTACTGAGTTTGATCTGAATTCTTTTTTCATTTAGCTGTAATTAGTTAATTGCTTAAAGAAAGTTTATGTGACATGATAATTGTAGGCGGGGCTTAAAGTCTTCGTGAAGTTATAAAATACAACATGGCAGCTTCCATAAGCTGTTGTGGCTTCAGCTCAACAAGTTGGTCCTAACGTGACTCATGAGCAGTATTTATATTACTAAAGGTTGAAATATTAATACAATTAATAATTAACAGTCGTCATATTGTCACACGGTTGTTCCTGGTTAGATAGAGATTTATAAAAAGGTGTTTCAATGAAGTTATAAACTGAGGTCAGTCGTTTAGCTACTCAGAGTTATCTGCCACAGGTAAGATGCTGATCGCTGTAATGTTTTACGGACTTACAGCGATCTGCCTCTTCTCCGTCTCTCCTCGTTTGTGATGAATATCTGAGCTCAGCTTCAGGAAAACAACTGAAGAAGAAGAACAGTTCCTTCAGACCCAAACGCGTCGTTCACCGACAGGAAGGATACGGGTCAGGTACTCCAGGATGGTCACGTCCCAGATGTAGTCGTAGAAGGAGTCCATGGCGTCGTGGCTGTGAAAACAGGACGTTACGGACGTTCTGACGGGAACAGGAAGTGAGCGTGTTCTGTCGGGTCCTACCTGTTCTGCTCCTGAAGGGCTTTAAACGCCGTCATGTAGTCGACCTCCCGCAGGAACTGGCACAGAACGGCCACCTGAGGAGAACCACACGTTAGCTGACCCCCAGAGGTGAGGGTAAAGCTGTGCTGCGACCTCTGACCTGCGTGTGACAGTTCATCATCGAACAGCACTTAATCATCCTCTTCAGCACCTGGAGGAAACGTGAGGAACCGGGTGAGCACCGGCGACTCGTTTTCCAGACAAGAACTTCACGGCTGACGTGAAGGATCACCACGTTTGTTCGAGGAGCAGGTGAGCGGTTACCTGGTCCGTGTAAACATCAGGAGGAACCGGTTTGGTGAAGAAGTCCGAGCACACGGCTCCGGCCTGCAGGTAGAAGGTGAGCGCAGCAGAGTACTGGTTGGTCACTGCGGACAGAGGAAACCATCGTTACCGCTCGTCCAGTTCTTGGGTCCAAACTGACGGACGTGGGATCTCGGTACCAAAGTAGATGTCGGCCTGCGTTGTGAGCCACGCCTGGTTGTTGGGGTTCAGGCTGAGAGCGTAGGACACCAGCTCCTTCACGGTCACAGCGACAGCCTCCACGTCCACCGCCTGAATGCTGCCACACAGACAGGTCAAAGGTCAGCGCTGACATGTGAACAGCACAACGATGGACGTCAACGTTGACTCTCTCACGCCACAGAGGCTTTACTTTGGAAGAGAGGACGGCCAGATGGACAGATGTTCTGCTGTCACTTCGTTTACGATGTCGTCCTGATGAGGAAGGAAAACAAACAAGAACCAAAGTTGTTCACGTTTATTAAAAGTAAACACAGAGACTGGTTTTACTGGAGGTTCTCTGCAGCATGAGTTCAAGCAGCTGCTGAGAGGACACTCGTGACGCGTCTCCGTCTGCTCTGGAGCACCTTCAGCACTCGCGTCTCCTCAGACGTGTTTCCTGAACCGTACGGTTGTCCGAGGTCTCCAGTTTGAATAAAAGATGTGCTTTTCGTTTGGGAGGGCAGAGATCCTCTTCGTGTTTTAGTTTGCGTTCTTTGCAGAACCTCTGGATGATTTGATGTTTTAATGGACGTACCCGTACGATGCTGTGGAGTCTGACGAACAGAGAGATGAGGGTCGTCAGCACCAGCGGCTCCTGAGAGAAACCCACTGTCAGACTTCAAACAGACGCTCAGGTTTGTTGGTTCTGCTGACACTTACTCTGAGTTTCTTGATGAAGGTGATGAACTTGCTCCTGAATGAGGAAAGCAGCAGAGTGACTGCATGTCTGAGTTAAAGGCGTCGCACGAGGAGGTTCTGGGGACTCACCGCTGCAGGATGCCCACAGACGACTCCCTGTGTTTGATCAGACCCAGCCGCCCGTCGCTGCTCCTCTTGTGTTGGACCGACACGCTGCAGATCTGGACCACCACGTCCCACAGCTCTTTGGCTGTCCGTCGACTCTCCTTAGGACCTGGCAGCTCTTTGCAGGTGGAGGCCAGGAGCTGGCCGAGCTACGGGGAGAGAAAAGGACAAATTAAAGAGGGAAGTTTTTCTGAAGCCTTGGTGTCGACAGACGGACGTTACCTTGATGTAAGGATTGTTCATGACCAGAGACGGAGGCACCTGCAGGGTCAGGTAGTCGTTCTCTCTCCAGTTCAACATGAAGACCACGCTCTCTTCGCCCATCACCTGACGCAGAGGAACATCTGGACAAACATCAGGACAGGAAGTTCTGATCCAACCCGTCGCCCACTGCCATGAAAAGAAGCTGATTGTGTGTAGCTGGTTCTTTTTCTGACTTCGGTGTTTCTAGAGGGAACGCTCCAGCGTGGACGCTCCGATGACATCACACACTCAGGGCTCCGCCCCCATCATGATGTCACGGTCAACTGACCACCTCCTGCTCATTCTCGCCTTCTTCCCATGAGAAACTACATCTAAGTTCCCTCGGCTCGTTCAGGTGAGCTGCTGAACAGTTCCCAGGTAAAGAACCCGTCACCAAACGCAGTTCCTGGCGTCCGCTCGACTCGCTCTGAGCGGGTTGGTGCGTCGTCAGAAACATCTGGCACAGTTAGGAGCAGTGGCCGCGTCAGGGTGAGCTCAGTGTTGGCTCCACTGCTAGCACTAGCGACGGACAGCTAACTTGTTGTGAGGAGCTAAGTCCACATCTCATCATCTCATCGTGGCTATGGCACCTACGCCCACCACAGGGTCAGAACCTAACGCCCAGGACGCTGTATCACGCCCGTGCCCCGCGTCAAGCGGTTCCTCCATCATGGGTGGGGACCCTCACCCAATGTGCATAACATGCATGGGCCCCAGCCACGCACAAGGGTCACTGGCAAACCCACAGGCATGTCCGACTGCTGCTGCATGCTGGGAAAAATCCTGGAAAGGAGGATGAGTGTCCAGGAAGCGTGTGTGTCTGTAACTGCATGAACAGGTGCAGACCTTCAGCTGCGAGCCACCACGTGCACAACTTGATGAGAGAGGGGCCCCGAGCAGGCAGTCGCTTTTCAAAGGGCTGGTGGATGGCGGGAACTTGAAACGAGTCAGGAGGAGAAGATGCTAAAGTCACTCTGACCTCCATGACATCCAGGAGGAGGATGACTCCACTTTCCTGGATCCACACTCGAGGCCCCCCAACGGGGCTGGGGACTTCTGATGATGAGGGATTTCCAACGATGGGTCGCATCACTGAGTCTATGCCCCCCCATCCCCACCCCCATATCCCAGACTGACAGCATCTCCAGCCATGGAGGGACCCAATGGCTTTCACCACTGGGACACAGCTGGGAGCAGTAACATCCAGGGTCACCATGACAACAGATGCATCCCTGACGGGGGGGGGGGGGGGGGGGGCACGATGATGGGCATAGTAAACGGTGCGGTCAGAAGAGCGTCACGTCTCCACAGAAATATACTGGAAGTGTGGGCAGGTTTACTCACTTCAAAGTATTTTCTGCTCCATCTAAAGAACCATCATGTCACTCGACGTGGTGACTTACAGGAACCATCAGGGCGGGACACCATACCAGCAGCTTCAGACTGGTCTGGGACTTCATCCAGCAGCTTCAGACTGGTCTGGGACTTCATCCAGCAGCTTCAGTCTGGTCTGGGACTTCATCCAGCAGCTTCAGTCTGGTCTGGGACTTCATCCAGCAGCTTCAGAGACTGGTCTGGGACTTCATCCAGCAGCTTCAGACTGGTCTGAGACTTCATCCAGCAGCTTCAGACTGGTCTGGGACTTCATCCAGCAGCTTCAGACTGGTCTAGGACTTCATCCAGCAGCTTCAAACTGGTCTGAGACTTCATCCAGCAGCTTCAGACTGGTCTAGGACTTCATCCAGCAGCTTCAGACTGGTCTGAGACTTCATCCAGCAGCACCAGGCTCCTGTCAGTCTGGGTGACCCACCTGTTGTACAACCTGCTGTGTGGGGAGTGGCGACTCCATCCTCAGGTGGTGGAGCAGATCTGGCGGGCCGCCGTAGATCTCTTCGCCTCATGGGAAAACACCCAGTGCCTGCTGTTTTTCTCCCAGTCAGATGCAGATGCTCCACTGGGGGTGGATGCTCTGGTTCTGGAAAGATGACTAATCAAGGACTTAATTTGTTTTATTCCTCTTGTTTCTTTTAACGGCAGTAAGTTTGACAGAAGCATCGAGAACCTCTGGTGTTCTGTTTGATGTGGTGCAGTTTGTGTGGTAGTAGCTGAGAGTCCTGCTCTGACAGCTGTGGACTCACCGTGGATCCTCATCTCCAGGTAACCTCTGACCCTGCTGACCAGGTCGGGTGGCGGCCGCTCCTTGCTGCCTTCAGCCGCCGTCACCTCGTGAGCGCGGACCTCCAGCAGCAGCATCTCGTTGAGCATCACCTGTCGGAGCTTCGGGGAGAACTCGGTGACGAGCTCCAGGCAGGCAGAGAAGAGCTGCCGGGCGTGGCCGAAGTCCTGAGACCAGAGGAAAACAGGATCATGTGACTGTTCAGGCGCCTCAGATGTTTGACTCCTTCTGCCAGACCTTTATTGAAATGCAGTGGAGTCCTTTAGCCATGAGGATGTAGACCAGGTCTTTGGTCAGGTTGTCTTTGATCCCCAGGATGACGTTGAGGTACTCTGCAGGAACCTCCCACTGTCCCAGAACAACACGTTTAATAATTCATCATCTCTTCACGTTTAGTCTCAGGTGTGATCCAACCTTGCTGTTGACTCTCCAGAAGGGCCGCTCCGCCAGGCCGTGCAGCTCGATGAGGATCTGCCTGATCCTCCGGGGGTCCAGGGACAGGATGAGCTGCTGCTCCAGCTGCCCGATGTTCACGCTGGCTGAAGCTGCGGACGGAGGGCACAAACTGAAACTGAGCTCTGAACGTGACGAGGAGCAGCAGGAGGCTCACCCCCGTACCTGGGATGTCGTAGAAGGAGGGCAGAGGCTTGGCGCTCAGGTTGACGGTGGCCGACCTCTTCCTCATCTGCTCCAGCAGAGTCTTCCTCTCCTTGTCCTTCAGCAGCTCCAGGAACAGCTTGTGAGACGTCACCACAAACACCAGAGACAGGTCCTCCAGGCCCTCACACAGAGTCCTGCACCACAACCAGGTTTTACATCAGAGCCACAGAGGAACCGGAGCCGCATTAAAAACCTGTCACTCACTTCAGGAAAGAAGCCATGTTCCTGCTGGACGCCTCCGACAGCCGGTCCATCTCCAGAGACCGGGTGCAGACCTGGAGGACCCACAACACAACAACTGTTCATCTCAAGGAGGTCTGAAGAGGAATTAGATTCTCTGTGAAGCCCAGAGCTGCTGAACAACAGCTGGTGCTACAGCTGAAACACACGCTAAACATTAGCTAGCCTAAACATTAGCTAAACACATGCTAAACACACGCTAAACACATGCTAAACACACGCTAAACACATGCTAAACACACGCTAAACACATGCTAAACACACGCTAAACATTAGCTAAACACATGCTAAACACACGCTAAACAAATGCTAAACACACGCTAAACACACGCTAAACAAATGCTAAACACACGCTAAACACACGCTAAACATTAGCTAAACACATGCTAAACACACGCTAAACATTAGCTAAACACAAGCTAAACATTAGCTAGCCTAAACATTAGCTAAACACATGCTAAACACATGCTAAACACACGCTAAACATTAGCTAAACACACGCTAAAACACATGCTAAACACAGGCTAAACACAGGCTAAACACATGCTAAACACAGGCTAAACATTAGCTAAACACACGCTAAAACACATGCTAAACACACGCTAAACACATGCTAAACACATGTTAAACATTAGCTAAACACATGCTAAACACATGCTAAACATTAGCTAAACACATGCTAAACACACGCTAAAACACATGCTAAACACACGCTAAACACATGCTAAACACATGCTAAACATTAGCTAAACACATGCTAAACATTAGCTAAACACATGCTAAACACATGCTAAACACACTCTAAACACACGCTAAACATTAGCTAAACACATGCTAAACATTAGCTA